CGACTATTGTGATTTGTGACTGACCGAATTTAAAGTGAGCTTTGTTCATGTTGTGATTACGAGTGATCAGCTGTCAATCAACTGATAACAAACATTTGCTGATTGTGATCGCTATTACTAGTATATATATGCCTCTATTACTTTATGTATTGTTTTGATGTTGTTATCTGAGAGAATAAATTCCTACTTGAGTATTTGTCATGACTTGACCATGAATATTTGAATATTTCGCGACCTAATTGGTATGATTATTGGAATAACAATCTTTTATGCTAAGAGCGAAAAATTAATCCCACGCTTAAAATAACTATGATTGCAGTATCATTTTTGCTTATCAGATCGATTTATTGAACTGAAATAAGAGGGCCACCCATAAAACTTAAGGCCAAGCTTGACTGCAGGCAAGCTTGATGATAATGTTTTGAGAATCGTTTACAAAATTGTTGTATCAAATACGCAGGAATCATGCTTCATGTAAAACCCTGTACAAGAGTAAATAAATTAATGAAAACGTTGAGGTCACAAGTTATTTTAGGAAAGTATGTCATGTATCACTGCTGTATCAGACATCTTTGTCAATGGTAACCAATGGTAACAAGATCAATAACTGATACGGAGAACAATCACTCTCAACGATTTCTTCCATTATCTGCACAAAGCCTGATCAATATCAAGATTGATCATTTTCCCATAAACAACTAAGACCAAGCCTGTCGTCCTGTATGTTGTCATACTGATAAACTGACTATGTAAGGGATGAGCTTGTACATGATCTTTCTGTCATCTTCCTAAGTCGCCTTTGCTCCTTCTTGAGTCAAGATTGGATCACATTATACCTAAATAGATGAATGTTGTGGGAAAAAAACACCAAAATCAATTGACAGAAGCAATGGTCAGTTCTTGGATTGGCAGCCTCAGCTCTCTGCCAGTTGATAATGATTTATTGCTGATGCAGCCAGCATTGTTTTCTGGGCTGTTGTCGTGGGAACTCGGCCTATAATGTGTTCCTGGTTGTTTGCCGTGATAAGGTTCAGCCTTGGTGGACTGATGCTTGATGTCCTTTCAAGGCCACACTTTTTTATTACTTGGTTTACGGATACGCCGACCATAATTTTTGCTAAAGTTAGGTGGGAAAATGTTTTCAATTTATCCATTTTTTTAAAATGCCGTCAATAAATGAGATCCAACTAAGTAATGTAAGAATCTACTTTACTGAAATCTACTTTCTGTTAGCATCATTGCAAAACTAAAAATTTGAATATTGAAACAAACAAAATCGCTGAATTAAAATTACCGAGTGAAAAAGCTGAAACAAAACGATAGGTAAAGGGAGGCTACTCTTTCTTTTGACTGTCATCTAGAAAAAGAAATCTGAAATAGCACTTTATTTAATTTTTTATTATTATTTTTACCTCCTACCGACAGGAATATTGCGGTAAAAAAATCTGAAAACCAAGTAATAAAAAGAGTGTGGCATAATAGATATTGGCGGAGGGGCTGGTAAGGTGAGGTCTTTCAGGTTGGATCTAGTGGTGGTCCGATTAATTGAAATAATCAAAGATTGGCCGCAGTGACTAAACGACCAAGCAATCGATCATGTTTTCGCATAATCAAACACAAACAATTTTGGGTCACCTGTTTGCATTAACAATATTTTTTACAAGGTTTGTTGTATCTGTTACATTTCATAAACATTACAAGCTTGTTCCAAGTCATGCTTGAACTCATCTTAAATACTCCAGGAAATTTATCTCCTTAATATACTAGTCATCCTTTAAAGATGTGAAATTTGTAAATGCATTTTTTAAAATTTGCACCAAGAAACCCGAAAGAACTACATGGTTTTTTTAACCAGGAAAATTTGATGCATGTACACTAACCAATTATTTTCGATGATTGATCGGTTGGAATTATCGGTTGGTAATCAATTATGGGATTTTAACCAATTCCTCACCCTAGTTGGACCTGGGATCCCTAAATGTACTCTACACCATTTCAGTACTTTACTGGCCCCTCATATTACCAGCAAGGTGAGGTGAGGTGAAATTGGGTTTAACGTCGTGCTTGAGAATATTTCGCTCATATGACGTCGTGTATGCGTGTGTATGTGTAAGTGCGGCTGCTTGTACTAGCCCAGACTTAAGCTGGTTTTATAGTGCTAGCCCACTAAGATACCATGCCGCAGTGAAGCATGAATACCCCACTCAGACACATTATACTGACTCCGAGCCGACCATTCCTTGTTGTACCCATTAATGCCGAGCGACAGGCAGGGACCAACAAGTACCATATTTTAACGTCTTTTGGTATGACGCGTCCGGGGATCGAACCTGCGACCTTCCGCTCTCCGGGCGGACGCTCTAACCACTACACCACAGAGGCGGTCTCTTACCAGCAAGGACCTGTAACATGTAGAGATAGGGGTTCCCTGGATCCCCACGTTAAGTCGTGGTAAAACCTTGCATTATGGCTTGCTATGATATTCAGTTCAATTCTTTCATTCAGTATTAGGAGCCTTAGGCTCAGGGTACAAACAGTATACAATATTCTTGGTGGAACTCTGTACAGAATATGTAATACATAATACTCAAGATTTCAAAATGTAGATTGCATGATACAGTGCATAATATTTTACATAGAAAGTGACAAGTCATCAAACAATGATGACCGGTGATGAACTATGTGGAATTGGTTATCTCCCTTCCATCAGGTGCTGAGGTACTTCTGCCAGCTGAGGCCTTGAAAATAGATTCTGCTAATGGTGACTGATTTTCACAATTCATTATACTGAGTTGCTTTTATTCCAGTACAGGGGCCATCGGCCCATTATACAAGTACAGAGCATGATGAAGTACAATTGTGACATGAGCGTTGTATATAAATACACGTACATTAAGGACATTACCGTATATGACCGTCTATAAGCCGAATTTTGAGGACCAAAAAAAGCCGTCTGTAGAAGGGGGTCGTCTTATCCATGAGTTACACTTTCGTCAAACTTTTTTCCAGGGGTAAAAAAACAACATCGTATCACTTCGCGTGAACAAACAACAGAAGACGACTTTGTCAGTAGAGACGTCAAATTTGCAATTAAACATCACTAGACAAGATTAATTACCATTTAAGTTATAAGTTGTTTTTGCTGGGCATTGTTTTATTTGCAGGGATTAAGATTACCGTGCGTATTTGTCTCCATTACACAAAGCCGGAAATAGCAATCAGCTGTGCACACGTTTCCAGCGAACAAGTTCAAACATGCACAATAATATCGCGGGGCCGAATTCTGCGCGCAGTCATCAGTAAAATATAATACAGAATACCGTTATTTAACCCAAAGAAATATATCCTAGCATTGTGTAATTTTAGTTACAGTTTTTGCTCTATAAATTAATTAAGATTACCGTCGCGTATTTGTCTCATTACACAAAGCGGAAATAGCAATCAGCTGTGCACACGTTTCCCCGAACAAGTTCAAACATGCACAATAATATAACGGGATGAATTCTATTGATTGAATACTATTATTTAACCCAAAGAAATATATCCTAGCATTGTGTAATAGTTTTTATGTAAAAAATATATAATCAACACTAAGGTGTATAAGGTTATACGGACCATCATGAACGTGGTAAGCACGTGACATGGAACGAGGCGGTAATCAGTTTGTGATTGTTGAATGGGGTAAAATCAGCAAGCCAGTTTGTTGCTACAATAAATATGATATTTAGAGAAGCAAAATATATTATGCATTTTCTGTCAACTACACTTCGTTTCGATCCGTGAGTAGACACAATATATTCAAATAGGGGATTTCACAGAAAATGGAATCACGTTTCATAGCGGCAATAAACATATATTTTGCCAGATTATTGCATATGTTATGCAGAGATGCCAACCCTTACGCTTTAGGCGTAATTATTGCAATTTTGACCATTAAATTACGCCATTACACTTAATCTGCGAAAATTACGCTTTTCTACTCGTTTTACGAAAATCAATAAAGTGGATAAATTTTCACAAGGAAGTGTTTCGTAACGGACATGTGCAGGGTTGATTTATAAAAATCGCTTGTGTAATGAAAAAGACATTGATTGCTATCAAGTTGTACTGTTAGTATAGGACAAGTGTTGTACTGTCAGTATAGGATGAGTGATTTTTTATTAAATCATATCCAATATATTTAAGTTGGTTTTGATTAGGTATGACATAAGGCAGAACATACCTGCTTAGTAAACTTACTCAATGACATAATACTTAGGTGAGTAAAATGACTGAAATACGCACATATTTGAAAGCAGTGGGTAACAGAACATGAAATGCCCACTCAACATTCATAATACCCACTCCCAAAAAATACAGTGGGTGCTAAGGCTGTTACGATTCACTCGCATATTCGGTGAATCAAACCGTAGCCCTTCATGAATTCAATTCGTTATTCGTGGTCACCATGAATGAAACATAATTATGAAGAAGTCTGTGAATAAAGAGGTAGTTTTGTACATTGTGTGAGTCACTTAACTCTATTTCATCACATTAGTATATGTATGATATTATCAGTGACACAATTTTTATATCGATAATCATGCTAATCATTAATATTATTTCCCATCATCGATGTTTCCGATTATCTTCTTAGCCAGCCATATAAACATTGATCTATTGATGACATTTACAAGAGAATTTCAGGAATCTTTATGATGAGGGGCGGTGGGGTAGCCTAGTGGTTAAATCGTCTGCTTGTCACGCCGAAGACATGGGTTCGATTCCCCACATGTGTACAATGTGTGAAGCCCATTTCCTGTGTCCTCTGTCATGAAATTGTTAGAATATTGATAAAACTTTTTAAAGTGGTGTGAAACTAAACTCACTCACTCACTCACTCACTCACTCACTCACTCACTCACTCACTCACTCACTCACTCACTCACTCACTCACTCACTCACTCACTCACTCACTCACTCACTCACTCACTCACTTAATGATGATGTTCATGTTTCAGGTTTGGTGATATCAAAGCCAACTATTGCATGGTTGCAACAATGAAGAACGGATCACTTGACAACAAGGCCCACACCCTGGATGTGTCCGACTTGATCCTCCAGGCCAAGGAGCTCTACAACAAGCAGCTGAACATCACCACAACTCGTGTCAACTCCAACTCCAAGCCCTTGGACAAACCCAAGTCATGGCAGGTGCCTACAAACAGCCGCCCTGTCTCACAGACTGACAACCATCACTTCACCAACAACCACAACAACAACACCTCGGCCGACAGAGACACCAGACCAGTCGACAACAGCAGCAACAACAGCAACAAAAAGTTCTTTAACCAGAATCACAGACGGCAGCAACAGTTTAACAATTTCAACAACAGGCAGCCTTTTGGACAACTGGACAATGGTCGACCGTTCATCCCCCCAGATTTCAGTGTTCCCCCACCCCCTCCCCCTCCTCCCATGGGTTTCAAGCCCTGGCAGGCCCCAGGGGCGTACTCCCCGCCCGCTAAGAACAAGAACTTGAATACCAGTTTCCGCAACAAGGGCTTTAACTACAAACATGGGCATCCCAAGCTAGGACAAGGAGTGCCACCCAACAACGATCGCTTCCACTGGCAGAAAGATTTGAAGACTGTCAGTTAAAACCTTCGCACAGCATTTCTATGTGTGCATGGTCTTTGTGGTGAATGATCAGTAATGTTGATTTTTTTTTTAAAGGTTTAATTAATTGAATTTTATCTTTGAGACTTAAGCTTCACAATTGTATCTCTTGAAGCCCCAGTCTGTTTGTTTAATTTGGCAAGAGTAGACTAACCGTGTCTACCATTGTAGTGGCTAATGAGGTCATCACTTTAAGTCTGTAACCCAAATTAATGGCTTCAAAATTTAGGAAAAGAATTTCTCAAAAGATATTTGAACTTGTCATTTTATATTCCTTTGAAACTTATATGATTGTGTATGCATATGATTGTGTTGATAACTGACATGTCACTAATGATGTGGAAGCGTTTTTAGCAGTGTCCCTGAAATTTGCTGCTATTCTTTGAATCATGGGGATCCTGAATTATTCTTTTATTGGGCTTTTGACAAGGAGCCCTAGACCTTCATGTCTAATTTCTGACACTATTTTCTGGGTTTTCTGGCCGTGTGCCACAACCACGGCACTTGCATGTACATATTCTAAATTATTTATTTCACTGTTGAAGGCAGTGCCCATGTCATGCCACCCAAACAGATGTGTGTCAGGTGAATGACTGACTGAGAAAAATTCTTTTTGTGAAAAACGAAGCTGATTATGATTGTTAATTCATTTTTTGCAGATGAATTTGGTTGATATTTTGGTCAGGAAGGAAAAACATTGAATAGGATTGATTTAAAGTTAATTTCATTTTTTGCACTAGTCACTCATAAACATTTGAAAATATTTTTTTTATGGTTTAGAGGTTGTTGGTAGGTTTGCTGTTCATTAGGGCTGGGACGATAGACTATATCACGATCGCGATAATTTACCTGCAATACGATACGTATCACAATACATACACCTTGAAAGAATGACACAGTATTAAGATTTAAAATGATTTATTTCAAGGTTTTTGTGTATAACAATCACACTATTGTAATAAACAAACAATTAACTCTATCATACTTGCATATTTTTCTCTAGATAAGTACTCTAACATGTTTAAGATAATATTGTTTTTAAAATAAGTCGTGTATCGTTTTGTATCGATACACCAGTCGACGATGCGATAGCTGTATCAAACTTAAATGTATCGTGATGTATCGGTGAATCGTCCCAGCCCTACTGGTCACTAAAAACAGGACAAGTTGTTCTAGCCTAGAAATAGTATATAAAAATTAATGATCACATAAATTCTTCATTTATGATCCACAAAGGGTTCATAACATTAAGACCTGTCGTAACTCCATAGTTTATCACTGACTTATGAATGCCATAGCTCTATGAACGTTTTGTGAATCAGGGTCCCGGTCTTTCATATCACCTGAAACACAGCTGTTATGTTTGGTCTTACCCTTTGAAGATATTGTTGAGGTCTATGTCCAAACTTGGACAGCATTTTGTTCCTTGGCAGAAACAGCGTGTGGTTCTCAGTACAGGTAGACACAGGGTTGGCCCCAATAAGGTTCGGTGGCAGGATTTAGTACATTACTGGAAGTTATCAAAGATCTCCCACTATTGGAATCACAGAACCAGCATCTGTCAATACTATCATTCCCCTGTCCTAACTTACTCCTATAGCCAATTTTTCCACTTTCTATTTAACTTGCCAGTAGCATTGTAAGCCTTCTGCCATGATGTAAGTTTGGTAGTGCCAAATGGGGTCGATAAACCGGTACACTTAAATTGTGACCGTTTGACTCATAGACACTTGATAGATGTGTTTTGGGGCTTCATTCATTTCCTCTGATGATGAACTTTATCATTGTGTTGTGTACAGTATTACAATTCAGGGTGAAACCGTACGCTCTTACCACAGTACGGTACGTATTGCGGTACAGGGCCTTCGATTCGGTCAGTTTCGGTTCAGTATATGAGATTCTATCATAATGCAGAAAAGAAAAGAAATGCATAGATTTTGACAAAATAATTTGATTTCTAGACATTTTAGAAAAGGTTTCAAAAGGTTAATAAAATGACGGTAGGAAAACTGAAAATACCGATTTTTTGGATTGCATTACGGTATGCCGAACCGAAGGCAAAATACAGTGGTTCTACTAATACCACGGTATACCGTTTCACCCCTAATTACAATTTTACCATATGAATATTAATCTTACATAATAACAAATTCTATTGCTGCTCTATTCAAGAGGAAAACAATATTTGGTACTTTTGAGAATTACTCTTTTCAACACTTTGACTTTCAATAATATTTCAGCATGCTATTTTCAATTTTAAACATGATAATTGTTGATACTGAAGTTAAATTTCTGTTACCTTCTTCCGTGATATCTGTATGTAGCAATATAAACCTCATGAAGCCATTTATCTGTGATTTGGAAGTTGAGGAAAGATACATTCAGTATGTAGTTGACAAAGTTGATGTTGCAAGTGAAAAGCTGGAGAAATATATAGTGTATTGGATGATGTATTGGGCGGTACATTGTGTATTGGATGGTACATTGTGTATTGGGTAATTTGAACCATACTTGTATTTTTGCCCTGTTCATTTACAATCTGTCATCAAGCTCTAAATCTGTGTCTTTGAAATGTACGGGTATAATCAAGCTGAGTGTATGCTATACGGCATATCACGTATGGCGATGTACAGCCTGTCACGTATTGCGCTATACAGTGTATCACGTATGGCGATGTACACCGCATGATGTATGGCGCTATGCACGCCGTATCACGTATGGCGATACAGGGGTGGAAATAACTCATTGCCCGACGTCCGAGTCCAGTGTTTTTTCCAGTCAGGCAAGCAAATTTGTATATCACGCTGTTCCAATGTCCAGTTGACTTTCCAATGTTAATTATGTTGTTTATTCAAAAACTCAAATCGGACGGTATAGAGGAAAAATGATCAGGGCAAGTGATTTTACATGTGCCACTGTACCGGTGTACAGTAGCAATTTTAAAGTTATTTCCACCCCTGCACTATACAGCGTATCAGGTATGGCGCTATACAATGTATCGCGTATGGCTCTGTATGCCGTATTATGTATGGTGCTATACGCCGTATCAGGTATAGCACTATACAGCGTATCACGTATGGCGCTATGCAGCGTATGGCTCTGTACTCTGTATTATGTATGGCACTATAGGCCATATCAGGTATGGTGTTAAATAGTGTATCATGTATGGCACTATATAGACCCATACATGACTGGGAAGCAATCATGTGCCTGATGACCTTATCATAGATCTGTTTCTCAGTGTCCCAGCTTGTGAAGTTTTGTCTGGGAGTGACAGTGGATTGAGAGTTTTTGACAATGAGATACAACTGCTGAAGTTTGAAAATTGCATTTGTGAGCTGGGAATTTCTTTTCATTATAAGCTAAATATTTTGTGTTTGTAATGTCAAATGTTTGCCTTCTTTTTTATTGAGATTGGTAACATCCTATTCAATATTGGAATCCCCTGGAATATTTCCAGAAATCATGCTGTCCATCACCCTCAACCATTTATCATTTCATATTCTAAACTTTTATCACAAGGCATCTATCAGTATCCGAAATGTACCCATCAGGCTAATTTTGTTTCAACTGTTTTACTATTTCAACTATATCATTGGCTCTCTGATGCAAGGACTTCAAATCCTGTCTGTGTTGTTAAACTCCCAGGATCAATCCTATCACAGCTGGGACCCAGGGAATGATGATAGACGGGTGTCTGTGTTCGTTGAGATGGAGCTGCTTGTCTTATTAACATCTATCAAGGACTTTTAGGTACTGAGAGTGGAAGAAGAATTGGTCCAACATGGAGCCCTTCTTGTGTTGGTTCCTCATTTTTCAGCTTTATCACTATGTTTGATCGATACACCATTGTATTTGAAACTTTCATTGTTGCATGTTTGACTGACATGAAAACTACCTTGCCTGTTAATGTTAAACATGTTTTTCTGACATATTTCACATATTGGCGTTGTGTGAGCAGATGGATAATTTAGAAAATGTGCCTCTATGACTTTCTAACCTCGAATCATGCTTCTTTTTTCTCAATCCAAGTATTTATTGACGTTATCTCGTTTATTTTGATAATGCTTCTGTGTTCAGTCTTGTGAAAATCCTCACAAGAGCAAGAGTGCAAGGGAGATAACTCTTAAGATTCAAATTGGCTTGCACTGTGGTGAGACTTTAAAATGTTGAGTGTTATATTCAAGTTGTATTATCTAATGACAGATGTTATATCCTTTTGAAAGAATTTATTTATAATTACCATTAATTATTAATACTTGCTTATTCAGATTTGTGTGTTTTCAGAGTTAACAATGTTGAGGTCTCACAACTTTTACAGGGATGAGAATGGATACGAGTGAAAAAAAGAGGAGAATGAGCCGAGGTTCTTTGGGGGTCTGGTTAATGGAAACAAGATAACATCTATCATTATTGAGCCCAGCGCAGTCAAATCCACGGATCCGTGGGAAAATTCTCATCCCTGGTTTTAACAGATGCTTGACGTTATTACATGGTGAATCTGTGGGGACATGATGGTTTCATTATAATCTAGATGTGGGAATGTTTATTTATTCACCATATTTTTATCTGTACAGAAATTAACTTGTAATCAATTTATCTTGTCATAAATACTCTATATTGTTACCATGGTTACAAGCATGAACTGCAGATATATTTGATGGGATTAGCACATGAATAGATAGAGCAAATGGAATGATACTTAGTTGGAGAGTTGTATATTGTATTTGTACCCAGATATGATACAATGTGTTTTGTTGGTGCACGGTGTATCCCCTCAACATGTGAGATGATACAAGGTGTTTGGAAAATACGCTTTTCTGTGGAAAATGATTTTCCATATCGACAATGTCCAAAATATTTGTCTCCCCTGAATAATGTTTGTTGCCAGTTGTTTGAATTATTATGTTATTATCTTGTATTTAGGGTTCATTTTGGTGTTACTTTCAGTGGTGTTAAGTTACACATTGTTTTAAACTGAAACTGATTCTGGTAAATGAAATGACACAAATAGGTAATCTAGTCAGTATGAACCTTGTGTTGATTTAGCTTTTGTTAAGGCATCTTAGAAAAAGAAGATATATTCCAGAAAATGATATATATTAAAACTATTTTAGATTATTGAATCCATTTAGTCAATGGCGCCACAGTTTGTTGAGGATGGTTAGCATATTTTGCATGCCAGAAACGTGGTTTTGAATTCATATTTGCTGTGATTATGTTTCTAGAATTGTCTACACCATGTCTACAACAAGCATCACCTGGCTAGCTATTCTCGAAACGTTCATAGCCCTACAAACTTCTTAAGCCCGTTCTTAACACATTGGCTACGATCAAAATTAAGAATACTTATGGCTACGAACATTTCAAGAATTAGGGCCCTGGCTAGCTATTCTCGAAACGTTCGTAGCCCTAAGAACTTCATAAGCCCATTCTTAACACATTGGCTACGATCAAAGTTAAGAATTCTTAGGGCTACGAACGTTTCGCGAGAATAAGGCTCTTAAACAAGCATCACTGGGCTCTCGACCCGCATCATACCGACATGCCTTGATGTCTTGAATACTGTAATGAACTCAACTCCATTCAACATATTTTCTCTCTTTTATCATAGTTTTGGGTGATCGCAATGAATAAACATGTTTCAATTTCAGAAGATCAAGATGACACATGCACTCATCCGAACAGTTGTATATCATTAGGCAGGGCTCGATTATAAGGAAGTGAAACCTAGTTGCACTCAGTGCAACCTTTGTTGATGTCCTTGTTGCACCCTGTAAAAACAGGTTGCACCTGTGCTCAGTTTAAAACTATATATCATGCTGGAGTTTTGATATTAATGATTTAGACCATCATTATAACAAATTGTTTTGGTTTATAGAGATCATTTTATTAATTCATAAAAATTCTGTCACTGTCTGTGTAGGCATCACAGTCATTACTTCAAGCCAGTTCATCATTTTGTTTTCATCTGATTTCTGTGTTCGCTGAACAGCAAAATATTATCATGCACTGAGTGCAAGTTCATATTAGATTGCATGGTGCAGATTCAAGCTGCGATGGTTCTAAATATACTCCCCGTCAAAAGTTTCAACTCACTAGTGTAAATGTAGCCACGTACTTAAGTCAACTCCTCTAAACTAAATTTTGCATAATTTTCCATACTGTTTAAAGGTACTGTTTACACATGAACTAATGTATTGTAAAAAAAAATTGTAACTTTGAAGGGACTATTGTCATGGGTTAAAAAATGATGAAACTGAGTGAAAATTGGTGAATTTTTAACGAGATTTTACACAACACAGTTGTTCACATGCATGATATTTGCTTATGCTTTTTAGTTATTTAATGCATGATCCTCATGCAATTCATTTGAATAAAGTTTGCAGTTGGTTCCCCAAAGTTAGTGGAGAAATTCATCTTCGATGTCACCACACACATATGCATAACATATAGTGAGTGCTTTAAGTGAGTCTAAACTTTTGACGGGTAGTATATTAAATCGAGCCCTGTTAGGTTGATTCTCGGAGGCAGCAAGTTTGTATCAGTATTTGTATCGAGATCTGCATATCTCAGAACCACAGACTCATTGGGAGCCCTGTGCTCTCCACACAAGCTTTATGCGTTAATCATGAATGCATTTAGATTTATTTCGTTGCTGTATAAGAATGTATATTTGTTTTCAGCATGGTTATATTTAACTGGATGTTTTTGATTGTGTTGATGTGATGATATTTGAGTAGACCTGTGATGGTGTATTTTAGGAGGTAAATGTTTTGATGTGCCTCATTATTAGCGTTTCTATTTTGTCGCTGGTGGGTTTGTAGTTTGACAGTTTTATTCTAGTGTTTGATCCAGAAATAAAAGGGGTGTAAAGATTCATGAGTATTAGATGTACTGAAAGTGATACATTTGTTGTCATAGGAACAGAAAGGCTTCAGCTATTGGGTTACAATATTATTTGTTTTCCTGTCTTCCATCACTGCCCTAATACTTTTCTATTTTCGACAGAACAGTTCAAATTTTTGAAAGTTTATGAAACTAATTTAGGTGATTATTCAAAAGAAGTAACTCCATATCTGTTGTGGGCTTCCCTGCTGATGCCTTGATTCTATTAGACCTGAAACAGATTGGTGGTCAAGTCAGTATTACCAAAGTGTTACAAACACATACACACATGCATGCATGAATAAATATACACTGACTTACATAACATACAGACACACATGCATACCAAAGTGTTGCATGCATGCATGCATACATACATATATTAGGGATGCCACGATACATAGATGAGAATCTAAAACGTTGACATGGACAATTATGAAATATTATCTATTAATGTTCCAAATGTAACTAAATTTACGCAATAATGCCACCAAAATAGGTATCATGATACGTATCGAATCATGACATGGGTATGGTGATATGTTTGATTCATGAAACTTATGTATCGTGACATTCCTAACAAACAATCATGCATACATACATACATACATACATACATACATACATACATACATACATACATACATACCAAGGATACATACATACATACATACAAGGCATACATACGCATACATACATACATGTATGAATGTATAGATTTATGATCGAATTTCCATCTGTGAGTGTTTAACCTTGACCTTGACCTACAAAACTCAGCATCTGAGGATCCCCATTACTCACAAAATAGAACTGTTCTGCAAAGTAATGAAATGATGAGTGTGCTGAAACTTTATAAAAAAATCTAACTGGAACCTAATATTTCTTGTCAAGAATTTAGTACGTTTAATATTATTGTGATGAATGATATTATTTCTTCTTCCGTTCTGAACGTTTTGAAAAATGTTTTAATTACAGGAACGTAGAATTTTGCACAATGTTATTTTGCTTCCCATGGGACGCATTATACACTTTTTCTGTCCATTCAGTCTTTTTGCGTACTGCAAGTACAACTCTGTCGTTTTAAACCCTGATTAGATCTGCTTCCAGTTGTGTGTTTACATAACCTACATCAATTGTCAACCATCAAAGATTCATTAGAAATGTGAAAACATCGGATACCTGCATAATATTCTCACACGTGCCATAGCATCATTCATTGGGTCCCTCGAGACTGTGTACTGCTACATGAATCTTTACACTCCTACATTCTGGGAGAAGAAATGTGGTTTGCTGATAATCATTCTTCCAAAATCGGTTTGATTTTAGAATCACAAGAAATCAAACTTCAAATCAACATCTTGAATATCATCTGATTTGATTCATTGTTTTATCAAACATCTGTCATGTTCAGTTACTGCTCAAACTACAACAGATTTTTACAAGTCTTTTGTAACAAGTGTATGTATTTTTTGTTCTCATCGGAATATAGCTGGTGCTTTGTTTCAATTCTCATTAACATTTCTCGTACGTTGACTTACTTTTTGTGTCGATATATCTTTGTAAGTGCATATGGTATTTTATTTAGTACATTGGACAAACTAAACAACCATTCAAGGGTTATAGAAAAAGTGACTTCCACGTATCTAGTGCTATTTCAGATCATTCTCTTTGACTGCTGTGGAGATTCATGTGTTTATGTTGAGGTTAGAATTGCTGATGGAAGACTTTTAGGGCCATTTGTTTCAAGATGCTAAGTTATCATTTCAATCTAAATGCTGATATTTGAAATTTCTAATAATCATCTTAGAATTTGAAGATAAGTATCATATATTACCGTGGACCTAAAATAGGTAAGAGTTTTGAGATTTGATCTTGAAATTTCAAAAAAGAGAAAGTTTTAATTTCCAATATAATGATGTTGAAATTTGAAATTTTCACTTACTCTCTTGAAGCTTTAGTTAACATATCTTGAAATTTCAGGAAAACATTTTACAAACAAATTGCCCTCAAAGGGTTCTGGCATGGCAGTGAGTGGTTCTCATCGATTGAGAAAGTAACAGAAAGGATCCATTCATCTTCGTTATGTTCATATGATAGAGAATATATCTCGAATACTTTACGCAGAAACTGTTCATGACACAGATGTGACACCTTTTGCTTACAGGTTACTGATTTGGGTTGCAAAAAATCATTTTAGTGGCATTTTTACAAATCATAAAGAACTGTCGATTAGAGAATAACATAATCCAGGGCTTGTTTGGATCCTTGTAAATAGAAATCTAACATCATACAAGAGCATTTCATGGTAATATAAAACAAATTCACTTCACCAATACAGCCTAATATTTTATTCAATGTGAGACTTTTAATGGGCTTTTTTTAATTATTGTATTATTTGAAGGTCTTCGGACCCATAAAACAAGCAAAAGGCCTTATGATTGGAAAATGTTTTGCTGAACAGTTAACTTAGAACAAAATGATGATGTATCAATAACAGCTCAATGTCTACAGCTTTAAGCACTGGTTTTATGGAATCTGTAAACCAATTGATAAAAATATTAGTGTATCAGTATCAGCTAAATTATTATAGCCTTTCGCTCTGATTTTATAAAAATAATCTTAACCCCCAAAAAAGGACAAGTTACCTCAGTGATATGTGAATTGATTGAGCCAGTTTTAAATTGATACTTATTTTGTTTCTAAAAGTTGTTTCTCAGTTCCTATTGAAAGTTCTGGGTCATTTCCCGTGTCGGCTACAGTGACATGAAAACTTGGGCCCTGTTTCACAAAGCTATCGTAGTGCTACGACTGCCATACCTCCTGTACTGTAGCTTGGAGTGTTCACTTCCTTAAATGTTTTTAACTGAAACTTGTTTTTGAATGATGTTATCTGTGAACGACTCACAAACTCGTGAGGCATTTTTTCTTCCCCTTTATTCTAGATTTATTTGCTTATTTATATATATATATATATCAATTGATCAGAACTGATTGCATTGTGTGTGATAATTGTTCTTTTTTAAAAGGTTTCTATATAGACAAAGTGTGCTCTATAGCTTGACTTAATCAAACCTGTTATGAATTATCATTCTGTGCTGAATTGCAGAACTAATGTAGTCTATGAAATAGAATTCATAGTGTATAATGGTAATAATTTTGTGATTTTCTTGCATTTGGAGTTCAGGGCATTTTTTCAATATGTCTAGAAAAATTGCAAATATTATTGAAATATGAAATAAGATATGACATGAATATATTATATAGAATATATATATTTTTTAACAAATGAAAAATATGTTTTGGCTTGAGATTGACATATTTTAGCAGAATACATCTATCTATAACAGCACAAAACAACTTTGTTGCATCAATTTAGTATAGGCTTGTATCATTAATATGGAGTTGTCATAGATTTATTGTCTCAATATTCACGGATGTTTAGTATACTCTTAAAATCGTGGATGAATGTATCTAGTGTTCTTTACGGTTTCTCACACAAGGTATTTTCACATAATCAAAAATATCTAATTGTGAATGTTGGTAGTTGCTATTATATTATAAGATTTAATGTTTTTTGTCCCCAAATGTTGGTGTGGTTTCCCACCTGATTAATTATTTCCTTGGAGTAGAGACAGAAGGTGCTGTAGCTCACCCGTAGTAAACCTTGGAATAATGGGCTTGCCTTGGAAGGGAAGATGTTCAACCAGTATGCTAAGAGGGAAGATTTCACTTTGTTTCAGGGAAACCATTTTTCTCCAATATTTTTCAGCATTTTTTACATAATTTGTACTAGACTTTTTCTCTTGCCATAAGGTTGGTACAGTTCTTATTCACCAATATCACTACTGCAGGGATTAGAAATTTCTATGAACTTTCGAGATTGCAGTATAACATCATTTTCTACAGCAAAATCCTTGGGATATTCAAAGAGGTTTTTATGTAGATCATATCATGCATCACAAGTGATATCATATGATTTTTGTGGGTAACCAAAGACTGAGAGTCAGTCTCCATCTGAACGGGACATTGTTTATATAGCAGATCCTGAAGTGAGGACTGTGAAGAGTGCCATATGAAGGTCTGGGTTCTGCTTAGCTATCTTAGATTGTCCCTAGCCAGAAAATAGTAACACTTTCATAGAGCTAGTAGAATCAAAAAGGAATTTAGCTGTGTCAGTTACATGCGGAAAAGTATAGGACCACTTCTTTGCGAGTTTCTGGTTGATTCTTGCTCTGGGAAATTGATGATTCACAACAAATTTAAGTGAGAACTACCAAGACCAGAATTTAGAAGCTCCTCTTGAACAACTTGACTTGGCAAAATATGTAAGCTGTTTTTGCAGTGTTCGTAAGTTTGAAAGTTTTCCCTTTCATAACACTGAAAAGTAATTATTTCTGTGGTTTTCCTGGATAATTAGCGTCAGTGAAATACTAGTAACCTATGACCACATTATCTAACCCCGGTTGTACATGGCACCCATCAAGTCTTATGTACTGGTTATTTTCTAATGCTGATTTGTTGATTATATATTTTTACTAGTTCATTTGGTATTTGAGCTGCCTTTCCATTCGGAATGAAGTCTCTCTAGTTTTCTTCAGATATGATTAACACTAATGACACAATTATACATTTGAATTTTTTAAATGTTGAATTATTTGTTTTTAATTGACATAAACAATTTACATTATGGTGTATATGTTCACAGATCTTTCCCTCAAGACAATTAAACTGAAGTGATACTTCGAACATGCATGTTCAGTTACAGCTGCTAGATGGAAACAAGTGAAATTCTTACCTTATGAATTGTGATTGCCATCTGTTGAGATCTTCTTTCACATGTGAGATTGTGAAGGAATATGTGAAAGCTTGAAATTACTGCCAGCTTGAAGCATGAAAGTGATCTTGACAGGGGTGTGTCAAGGTTCGCTGTGTCCTTGTTATTTCAAACCCTGGTACTTTGGATCAGGTATCGTAGACACTTAAATCTCTGTATCCTCCCATGGCAATAGTAGAACAGATATTTGCATACATTAAACAGTGAATAATTGTCACTCATATTTGAGTTCTGTGGTTGTTGTGTATGAAACTCTAATTATATATCCCAATGACAATCAGGAAATATATTTTCCTTGAGTGGAGAAGATCAATCTGGTATACTGTTCAGACTATTTTGTTTTAGTACTTCAGTAATCACTGCTGAATTTGTCCTTTGTAAAAGAACTGGTGACATCATTTGTTGCTAAGCAACATAAATGTTTGCATTGAGGTTTCATTTAGTTTTCATATTTATGGTTCTGTAGTGTTCATAGAGTACATTCCACATGCAATCCGCGGTTTTAGAATTACTGGTATTAAATTTTTATGAAGTGAAT